TCTCACTGGTTTTCAACACTCATCAGGAAACTGAGGCTGCTGCGGATTTCCTTTCCTATTCGATGTTTTTTTTTTTTGCGTCATAAGGTCTGCTGGGTTTTTTTAAAATAATATTTTAGGACAGATTTCCTATTGTTGTACCTCTTACCCTCGGCCAAAGACATGTTTTCCATGAGCAACAACGCCTACCAGCATCATGCATTGGCTGTAATTAAGCAATCGGTGTTGACATGTCATTTTCACCCCAAATCTTTAGATCACATCCATGTTCACTCATGTTAATGTACATTTGCTGGATTTGTACAAATGTATAATACCCGTGTCCACCGTTATAATACTATGCAGTATAGTTTACAACCCGAAAAATAAAATTCATGACCATCCCTATGTCCTGTGTTTTCATCTTCTGATTTTTACAACCACAGCTTCCCCTTAGACCAGAGGACGACTGAGACAATCTGAGTCTTTAATTTAGCTCCATCAGCTTCCCCTGAAGGCTCTCTGAAGCCCCAAATGAAGGAGTGCCATGCTTGGGTTTTGACTTAGTAGCTCTCGGGTGGCCATGGGAATGCTCACTTTTAAGATAAATTAGATTCACAGAAAGTTGCAAAAGTCGTTCAGGGGGCTCTTGTGTCCCCTTCATCCAATCTATTAAAAAAAAATGTCCTCCAAGTGGTACGTGGTCAACGCATGTAAACATGGAAAGGGAACAGGAGGACGAAGAACACAGGTGTCTGCCTTGTCCTCCCGACCTCCCACCCTCTTCTCTTCTGAACCCCTCCCTTCCGGCTTGCTTCTGCAACTTGCCACTAAAATAGCTCTTAACAGAGTGGACAGTGACTTTGGTCTTGTCAGGGTCCACAGTCATTTCTTAGTCAGTCCTCCTCGGCCTCACACTTTTAGAAGCCCTTGCTGAAACTGGCCTGTTGGTTCCTATCAAAATCCTTTGTCGGCTTGGCTTCAGTCACATGCTGGTCTGAGCTTCCTCTTTTTAACTGCTTTCTCTCCTTCCTGCTCCTCTGTCTCACAAGCTCCTTTTCTCCCAGATTTGTAAATAGCGGCATGCCTTTTTTGTGGGTAAAAAAACCCCATCAGATTGTTAGAATGAGTATTTTTAAAAAACATTAAGTAGCACACAGTCACTCTGCAGTAATTATAAAATGCAGAGAAAAAGAAAAAAATCAAGGCTACTTTTTTAGTTTGTTTTGTTTTTTAATGGAGATACTGAGGATTGAACCCAGGGCCTCCTGCATGCTAAGCATGCACTCTACCACTGAACTATACACTCACCCCAAAGGAAAAAATTAAAAGCATACTTTCAACACTCAGAGATAGTCATTGTTAACATGCTTCATTTCCTTTTTAGAAAAATTTATTTAATTTTGCCTGCAGCCACAAAATTGTATTAGCAGTATTATAACGGGTCCAATTATATTTCTATTTAATTATATATGTACTTGCTAATTTGCGTCTGTAAATATATTTTTAAAAATCTCTGAGCTTTCTATCAGCTCCAGGAAATAGAATATTGGGAATAATACACACCTAAGTAGGCAGTTCCCTGGGGACACAGCCGCCAGCCTCCTCACCTGGAGGAACCACCGGCACAAATTGTAAGTTCATCATTCCTCTACTTGAGAAAATAATATTATTATATGTGCGTGTATGCCTAAGAATATGTTATTTCGTTTTTGCTCTTTTGATTGATTGATTGACTGATTGATGCAAACATCTTTGTTGTTTCCATTTGGTCGAAGGCTCGGGAGGGGCTCCGGGGTGGTCACAGAGCTGCCCAGAGG